GTAAAAATAGAACAAAGAAGTCGTCCATGCGTGAAATCCCCGTCAGCGAATGGTGAGCTGCACGAATAGGTGAATGCGGCCTTTACTGAAAAGCCGTGGCATATCGCAGTGCTTCTTTGCTCCCCTCCAGGTATCATCGCGTGAAAAATTGTTAATAATTGCATGGTGGCACAACGCAAAAAGGAGCTGGAATGACAAAAGCACGATAAGACACCTACAAGATGCACGCGGTACCAAACTGACAGAGCACTAACAGTGCTGTGCTCTGTGTGTGTACTTGTCGCATTAGCGGTAGGCATCTAGTGTGTCAGCATTTCAAGAGAATGCTCTGCATTGCATTGGTCCGGCATTCTCCTTCTTGCTCCCATTAATCGGGGGTAGAGGGGAGGGCTCAGAGGAGCATTATAGTCAAGCTCAAGTCAGTATTGGGGGTGGGGTTAGGGACCCGTACGCAATGCATAAAGTGACGCCACTGGTTATTCGGTTCTAAGCTTACTTATGCTGTAGTGCTGATGCGTATTTCAGTATGCTGTCCTTGACATTGCCCTGATGCCCAGCGCTTTGGGATGTGACTGCAATTGACAGTCGTGGATGCAATGTGCTGGGCTTGAGGTCGTAAGCAATGTGCAGTGTTCGTTGTTGCTTTTGTTTTTGCTTTTTAAGTTTCATTTAATGCACGCAGCTTTTATGGGACGCAAGGATACAGAGCACGATAGATGAGGTTGCCATTTCGAATCATGTAAGTGATACCGTTTTGTGAAAATATCACTTCGACATTGTACACATTTCGTCGCAAAAGTAATCTGCTTGATTGGCGTTGCTTCCAAAGTGGCAGCAGCATGGTTCGCTGCCTGTACGCCTTTTCAATAGAAGAAATCGTGACGCACGTCTTCATGGACCCTTTTATGGCGTACGAGTGACTGCTGAGATCATGACAGCGTTCCAGGACCATGGGGCAACTCGGGTTCGACCTCGTGCCCCGATTTGGAAGCCACAGGCGCCAACCACCCGGACATTGCGCTCACCGCCTGCGCCTGAACGCTGAACCTGTTGTTCGAACCAAGGGAGGGGAGCGAATGGGAGGTCCTCCAGAGGCTGCAGTTTCAGCGGTGATAGTGCGGCCATTTCTAAACTCAGCCCAAGTTTAGTCGTGCCTTTATCATAAGCGCTCGCCGGCGGTGGTCCGCATAAAAATAGAGGTAAAACATCGCTGGATCACCCTCAAACTTTCCGGAGTTTCCACCACCTTTATCCCCTTGGGACAAATTATCAGATGACTTTACCTCAGTCTGCTCCTCAGATAGACTTTATGAGGCTCTACCGGGCTATGAAATGTCTCGACAGACATTCTGGGCAATGGTTTCCTACCCACGGGTCAGTGAAGGACGGTACACTTAAAATATTGTGTCGATCCGGAACCCATTTGCATCTTGTAAGTTCAACATTATGCACCACAGCATCACACCACCACAGCCGAAAGGACAGGCGGATGATAACACCGGGCGCGAAGGTATCTTTAATGGCCACAGAGACTTAAAAGGTCGCAGAACATCGTGGACCCGGGTCACGCAGCAGCAAAGAGCAGCCCAGACAACCTGGCAACCATACAGGACCGGGCGTGTGAGCATTGCTCGATGGGGAAATAGCTTTGCTCCTACGGGCTCGCTCTTGAAATTCCAACTAATGACCAAAATCCGGCCATATCCAGCCAACGTTGACTTGATAATTGGGATGTCGGGATCCTGTTCTAAGGCCATCTCAATAGTGCGCCAACGAAGAGTGCTGCCTTGTCAAGTGCTGGACGGTGACCTCGTGATGAATTTAAGCATTTGGTGAAGCATTTCCAAGCGGAAGGATCCGCCCATTTGGTAATTTGGGGACCACCACCCTTTCCTGCTATTCTGAAACTGAGCCATGGCTGTTTCGTGCCCTGCAGCCACACTACCGCATACCGAGTTGCAAGAAGTGTGCAGTTTGACAAACTGCAACTGCGTGTTCCATTCTGTAAATTCCAGAGCCACATTCTGATATCTGAGAGACAAATGGAGCCTTTCAAAAGCCACATTCAGGTTTTCAGCGGTCGTCGGCGCACGTACAGAAGGACCGGCTGTTGTGTCTCTATTGAGCTCGACTGAACTGTTGCTGGTTGTTTTGCGCCGCGTCTGAAGCCGTCCCCGGCCGACCAAATCGTGTTTGTGCCCGTCAACTGTCTAACTTCCACAATACTAGCCAGTCGCCGCGCCGACATCGGACACATCCTTGGAGAAGGGGGGTTTCAATGTGAGGCCTACGTGTGCCGACATGTCGCGCCTGGCCTCGCGGTGCTAGGCTGCGGCGTTTGCCGTCGGCCGGACGGTCTGGCGACGAGCGGCGGCCGGATGGCCTGCCGAAGAGCGGCGGTCGGGCGGTCTGCCGACGAGCGGCGGCCGGACGGCCTGCCGACGAGCGGCGGCCGGACGGTCTGCTGATGAGCGGCGGCCGGACGGTCTGCCGACGAGCGGCGGCCGGGCGGTCTGCCGACGAGCGGCGGCCGGGCGGTCTGCCGACGAGCGGCGGCCGGACGGTCTGCCGACGAGCGGCGGCCGGACGGCCTGCCGACGAGCGGCGGTCGGACGGCCTGCCGACGAGCGGCGGCCGGACGGTCTGCCGACGAGCGGCGGCCGGACGGTCTGCTGAAGAGCGGCGGCCGGACGGTCTGCCGACGAGCGACGGCCGGACGGTCTGCCGACGAGCGGCGGCCGGGCGGTCTGCCGACGAGCGGCGGCCCGCTGCAGCGCCGCCGATTCCACCCGAGCGACGAACAGAACATACATCTTGTCAGCTTTACCGCGGCGTCGGATTCCACAGATTGGCATCAGCCCATCAGGTCCAGCAAACAAATCCCGTCAGCTTTGCCGCGGCCTGCCGGGTAGGTCCACTGACTGGCATCCCGCCGGAGGTTCAGCAAACAGGGCTCGTCATGTATGATGTTTCCATGAATCTTTGGATTTATAGCCGGGAAACCAAAACAGATAGTCATATAACTATGAAAGGTGTTTCTTAATACAACCCATGGTCGGTTTGGCTTATTGCAGCTTCTTGTCTGAATATGTAAAGAAGGGAAATGCCATTTCAGCGAGAATTCACCCTCCCTTAGTTCTTCATACAAGTCATGATCATTTAAAATCCAGCTTGAAAGGGCAGTAATACGCCAGTCCGGTGCAGACTCGCGCCGGAGAGGTGTCACCTCAGGTGGCGAGTAAGCAGAGGTGCAGACTCACGCCGGAGATCTGCCGCTTCAGGTGGGAAGTAAGTAGAGCGGCGGACTCATGTGGGGGGGGGGGGGGGGGGGGGTCCTACGGTGGGCGACGTGCGCGGCTGCCTGGCCGCCGCTGGATGTTGTGCGCCGCCGGCTGCCGCTGTTGCGCGTCCCCACAAGAGCGAATTTATAATGAGGAGCCCATTGGTCAGCATACGAGCCAGATGATGTTAGCGCGCGACTCGGCACGTTGTGGCTCCGGAACAACCAACATCAGCGCACACTCATGTGAGCCACAGAGCTAAGATGAAGCGGATGACTGTGGCATTGGCGGGATGGTGGGTCCGGTCAGGCACCATGAACGGCTGTCTCCCCGCCCATGGCTGTGCGCCCTTAACCACGGTACCCCAACTCCACCTTTTAGCTTGCGATAATATTTAAATGGGGCAAAAACGGAACCGCGTGCACACTAGTACGCCTAACTGGCAAGGGTCCCACGCACTGGCGAATTATATTGGCAAGAGCCCACTGGGTAATGGCCCTGGGAGCCCCCCCCCCCCCCCCGGCCTTAACTAATCCACGCAGACTCCGTGCACTCGGCGCCCCATCACACTCACTCCAAGCATTTACATTCGCTGGCACCCACATCATCCCATTCATCCTTGGCTTGCACACGGGTGGGACCCCCCCCCCCCCCCCCTCTTATTTCCTGCACCTTGGCATTATAATTGGCTCGTCGGTGTGGGTCCTCGTTCAGTTAAATTCATTGATCACATTTCGATCTTGCCATAAAGCCACGTTTAAGCCCTGTTTAAAGTGTATCACGTTAGGCTGCCAGCTTGGCACCGACGCTGCTGCTGGGCCGACACCGGGTGTCCAAAGCCCAATGGCGACTCGTTCCCTCGCCAGACCTCCAGGGTGACGGCTCCCTGTTTAAAGGAACGCTCCTAGCGTTCCGTCCACGATGGGCGGCCGACCATTCGCACGGCCACACACACCGCTCGCAGCTCCCCGCTGCCGCGCATGCGTCTTAAACAGCGCCTCGTCCAGCATGGAGGCGTCGCTTCCAGCACTTCTGCGCCCTCGCCTCCCGCCCACCGGAGCAGGCTTTGCAAGGCACCGCCCCACGGCGCGTCCCTCAGAGGCCTGGGGGTAGACAGCGCGCTCTATGGGACGCTGGAGCCCCTCGTCAGACGACGAGCGCTCGGCGCGACCTGCGTCCACGCCTTACGGTCTCCTCGGCCTGCGCGCTCTGGAGACTCGGTCTGACCGGCCTGTCCGGCGACATGATTACTCGTCACCTTCCCTATGACCGCCGATGGCGGGATCCCTATCCGTCCCAAACATCCCGTCACCAATCGCTCATAAGGTCCGGCGTACAGCACGACGGAAGAGAGCAGACTGACTCCTGTCCTCTCCCAAGGTGGAGACACCACGAATAGACTCTGTTACCGCCATGCCCAATCAAGCATCTCGGGCGGTTCCCACGGGTTCTGGGTCACATCGTGACCAATGCCTCTTTAGGCCGTCACACCTGGGGTCAAATGGGAAACAATCAAACGTGTCAGCCGTCTCCGAAAAAAGTGAAACAGTGTCTCGAGCCGCGCTACCCACAAACGTCTATCTGCGTAAAAGCAGGACTACGGTCGTCTGGCTCCCCGTCCTTGTCGCACCCACGCCGGGCTGCTCACTTGCCGGTGGGGAGGCACGGCTCGACGCGGACCAGTGAAGGACGGCCTGCGCCACACCGCTGTTGCACGAGTGCACGCCGCCGGGCCGGCCGGCAGCGTGGAGTACCACGAGATGTCGGATATCTCGGGCGAGGGGAACTTCGATCCGAACTTAGGGCCGCAGCAGCGGCTGCGTGCCAACACCGGGCCCCTGCCGCGGCCCGAGGACTATGCACAGAGCCAACACCCGCTGGACAACCTGCCCGAGGCGTCGCCTTGGGACATACAGCAGTAGAACTTCCACCAGAACGCGCCACCTCCGCCGCCACCGCCGCCACCGACTCTGATACCCTCGCTGGGACACAATGGCACCGTAACGGGCAACGGCGGCGGCCTGCTGCTCTGCAAGACGGAGCCGGGCACCACGCCGCTGGGCGGAGACCTGGCCAAGCCGGCGGCCGCCTCTGACTCCACGGCCGTGCTGCCCAAGCCGAAAAACTCGAACCGGCGCAGCGTGTGGGGCCCGCACCGCTACGCGGGCCTGATCACGCAGGCGATCCTCTCGTCGCCGGAGAAGCGGCTCACGCTGGCACAAGTGTACGACTGGATGGTGACCAACATCCCCTGGTTCAAAGACAAAGGGGACAGCACCAGCTCGGCCGGTGCCGCTTCATCAAGGTGCAGAACGAGGGCACCGGCAAGTCCTCCTGGTGGATGATCAGCCCGGACGCCAAGACGGGCAAATGCACTCGCCGGCGCGCCACGCTCGAGACGTCCAAGTACGAGAAGAAGCGCGGCCGCGCCAAGGAGAAGGTGGAGCCCATCCGCGGCGGCCTGGACCACACGCCGAGCCCGTCGTCGTCGCTGGGCGACGGCCTGGACGGCCGGTTCGCCGAGAGTCTGCTGCATCCGACGCAGGCGGGCTTCCTTGGAGGCGACTACCGGCACCGGGCCAACTCGGCGGCCTCGTCGTGCGGCCGGCTCTCGCCGCTGGCCGCCTGGCGGTACCGGCACCGGCTCGACTCTTACCAGCAGGAGCAGCTGGCCGACTCGGTCGACGGCGGCTTCAAGTTTGAGCCGGGCGTGCCGCTGGCGTACCGCGGCATTAACGGCTACGGCCTGTACGCCGGCGGCGGGCCGCTCTCGCCCAACGGCCAACCCGCCGGCCTGCTGCCCGGGCCCAGCGGCCGGCCCGGCCCCGACGGCGACCACTACAACGGCCTCCAGTCCGTGTCACTAGCGGCCAGCGTCAGCTCCATGTCACCCAGCCTGACGGCGGATCACTACGCGCAGGCGGAGGGCCTGTACCACGGCCTGCCGGCCAGCAGCGCCTACGGCGCCTCGCTCAGCTACAGCTCGCCAGTCTCCTCCTCCTACACGGCCTCGCCGTCCATCAGGTTCAGCTCGGCGTCGCCGGTCTCGTCGGGCGGCAGCTACACCACCAGCGGCTTCGGTAACAGGGCCTTTGCCGCTCCGCCGCCGCCAGCCGGCCAACCGTTCGCGGGCTCGCTGATGACCGTGTCGGCGCCACGGCCCGAGGACCCGCAGACGCCCCTCCCAGCTCATGTCCAACCTGATGGGCGCGCTGCAGCAGAACCACATGCCGGTCGACCTCGACCTGGACACGTTCCAGGGCGGCTTCGACTGCGACGTTGACAACATCACCTGACTCGCATGCTGACCAATGGGCTCCTCATTATAAATTCGTTCTTGTGAGAAGGGATGACAGCGGCAGCCGGCGGCGCACATCATTCAGCGGCGGCTAGGCAGCCGCGGACGTCGCCCACCGCTAGGTACCCCCCCCCCCCCCACACACACACACACGCTGGAGAGGTGTCGCCTCAGGTGAGGAGTAAGCAGAGGGTCAGTCTCACACCGGAGAGGTGTCGCCTTGGGTGAGGAGTGAGCAGAGGCACAGACTCCCACCAGAGAGATGTCGCTTCAGGTGAGGAGTAAGCAGAGGTACAGGTATCCGAGGTCACTCAAAGTGTTACCAACTAAACGTGCAAGTTCCATATAAGTGGGCGGTCAAAGTCGGTCCCCATATTTGTATTCCGAAATGGGTAATGGGCCATGGTTGTCAAATTTTTCTCCGGGTGGTGTGCAAGTTTTGTGGGCTTTCTAAGAACACCAGTTTTCTTTTGGCGACGTTTTTTTTGAGTATTTTTGCTCGGAACTAAATGTCGCGGTTAGCCAGGACTTCTTCCAAGTTAGTAACAACGTTTTCGCACTAGCGGAGAAAAATCAGCTTAATCAAACGTTGTCGTTGTTAGCGCTCGCCAGGCCGGCAGCAGCATCTACCTCTAAAGCAGCTGCACGATATGGTCATTCACAGATCAAAGATGGAAAAAACAGCAAACGATATCTCATCACCGTTGCTATGGCCTGCTGTTCAGGCCTTGGTCGTGTCAAGTCAGGCAAACAACGACCATTGACAGCGACCAAACGTAACCGTGGAAAACAGGGCGAACGACAAAGGTCATGCGGATTCTTGGCTCGTCTTCCGTCCGCTCCTGTCGAGGGCTCATGTAGCGACCAACAGGCGGTGTTCAGGTGCATTCTGCCCGAGATCTGAACAGCATAGTCACGCCGCGTCGGTCCACTGGGACGGTTAGAGCATGGGGCCCGGTCTGTCGGCTACCCGGCAGGCGACGTCCGTCATCAATGACTGGCGGGCTTTGATCCGCGGCTGGCTCGCATGCGTGTGTTTCGTCAGCACAACTTGCTGATTTCGGCGCCCGAGTGGCTTAAACACAGGCCATAAGAACGCGCTCTAGCGGTACTGGTCGGCGCTCGAGTGGGTTGCGCACAGGCCATAAGAACGCGCTCTAGCGGTACTGGTCGTTTTGCATGAAACCTTTCTGAAGTGTCCGTCAAGTCTCAGGCAATGCTCATTCATATCCAATATTTTATTCACCAATGGATACTGAAATGATGGCAGCCTGACATTGTTTAGGGTGAGCTGTGTTAGTGTACGTGTTGCCACCTGCCGGCCAAACTGGACATAGAAGGCTCTGATCTCCACAAAATGTAGCTGGAGCCGGTGCAGTAGTCAGACATTGACCACAGGAAAACAAAACCAAATCTGCAGCTTACCAGAGCGCACCCGCGCTTGATGTGGTGGAATCCATCCCAAAGCCAAACCAAAACAAATAAAGCCAGATCTGGATATTATTCAAACGGACTGTTACAATGCAAACGGAATCCGAATATGGCTGGAGCGCAGATACAATTGTCGAATCTGATACCTAATCCGAATAAAGCTTATTTATTGAAAAGTAGGCTGTGAAGCACATACAATCTGTTTATTCACTACATGTAAAGTAAGATATAGTCAGCAGTGCATACATGAATTAGTGCAACGGGTGTTATATATTGTCAATGCATGGTGATCGATAGAACGACTCCAAGCTATTAACGTGTATACATATGAAGCACCAAGCACAGCATTGTTTTTGATACCAGTTTAAAGATAGCTGTCTTAATGCATAAGTGATAATATACGTGAGGTATGCTGGAATTATTGTCAAGTCAAGCGTACCCGAACAAACTTCCTGCCTTTCAAATTGCCATGTAATTCAAACTAATTAGCTATCGTGAGTCTTGATAAGTCATTACAGCTTCAACTTCCCAGCCCGACAATTACCCTAGTAGTCCCTAACAATTACATGGCTGGCAAGCCCGCTATGTGAAATACCCATATGTTTTGGTTGTATGGGATATCTCGCGAATCGGACATTTCCAACACGAAAGCGAATAAATTCAGATTCATTTAGCGATTCAAAAGTTTGTGTGCTTGTTTTTACTGTGAAAACTGTCTTGCCCACTTTTCTGAAGCTAGTCTTCCCGTAGCAAAGAAGGCTTCCATGGTATTTACGGTACAGGCGATCCACGCAAGCTTGATGTGCTCTTAAACCGTCCATAATGATCCAAACATCCCTGTACTTCAATGAGAACCTTTTCTCCCCTTGCAGAGACATCATGATGGACTCACCCACGCACAAGCGGTCCGCGGCATCACTCTTCGCGGGATGACGATTCCAGTGCTGAGGTTCGCGGGGGAGGCAGGTGCAGCGGGTTCGGCTCGCAGGACCCGAGGTCGGCGTGGCGACGGCTGCGTGTGCGTGAGGTGCATGTGCCTTTTGTGCAGAGTACACAAGATTAAACAGCGTCGTGGAAGGCGGTGCTGTTGCTGTATGCGCATTTACACCGGACTGCGCTGATGATTTGCGAGAACTGCGAAAACCGCTGATGAGTGCGATGATTGTTGTGACCACACGCCGTCTTTCGTCCGTGTTTGATGTTTCGAGGCGCCGAAAAAATCTGTGTCACATGCTGAATGTTGGCTGCCATGAAATGATCTGGTAAAAGATCAGATCAAGGAGCAGACATTTCGCCTGAGCGAGAGGGGTGCTGTCGGCCTCCCAGCGCTGACAATGAGCCGTATTATGGCGGCTATGGCCGCCAGGAGGCTGGGCCTAAGGATGGGCCCAATCAGAGGTTTGGTCCACAACTGGACCCGATCAGAGGTTTAGTCCGCGACTAGGGCCGATTGGAGGTCTGGTTCACGACTGAGCCCGATCAGTGGCTTGATCCGCGACTGGGCCCGATCAGAGGTTTGGTCCGCAACTGGGCCCGATCAGAGGTTTGGTACGCGACTGGGCCCGATTAGAGGCTTGGTCCGCGACTGGGCCCGATCAGAGGTTTCGGTCCCGACTGGGCCCGATTAGAGGCTTGGTCCGCGACTGGGTCCGATTAGAGGCTTGGTCCGCGACTGGGCCCGATTAGAGGCTTGGTCCGCGACTGTGCCCGATTAGAGGCTTGGTCCGCGACTGGGCCCGATTAGAGGCTTGGTCCGCGATTGGGCCCGATCAGAGGTTGGTCCGCGGACTGTGCCCCGATTAGAGGCTTGGTCCGCGACTGGGCCCGATTAGAGGCTTGGTCCGCGATTGGGCCCGATTAGAGGCTTGGTCCGCGACTGGGCCCGATTAGAGGCTTGGTCCGCGATTGGGCCCGATCAGAGGTTTGGTCCGCGACTGTGGCCCGATTAGAGGCTTGGTCCGCGATTGGGCCCGATTAGAGGCTTGGTCCGCGACTGGGCCCGATTAGAGGCTTGGTCCGCGACTGGGCCCGATTAGAGGTTTGGTCCGCGACTGTGCCCGATTAGAGGCTTGGTCCGCGACTGGGCCCGATCAGAGGTTTGATCCGCGACTGGGCCCGATTAGAGGCTTGGTCCGCGACTGGGCCCGATTAGAGGCTTGGTCCGCGATTGGGCCCGATCAGAGGTCAGACACTAACGGGCTGGCTCCTCCAGACGTCCAACCCAGGCCCCCAATCATGTCCGCGAGCTGGACGTGAACGCCACTCTGATCTGGTCACGTGATCGCGGCATGATGTATAGACCACGTGATCGCTGGCTGTCCCACTGTGGTGATTCGACGTCAGGTGGCTGGTAGGTCAGCGCATGGCGTGCGATATTTTTAAGGATATATGTGTGCGCTGAATGCGACGCGTGTTCGTGGTCCTTTAGAAGCTGCACTGCGACAAGTCGGGGCTGGTTTCTTTGGAGAATGTGTGGCGCTAATCTTCTTAGCTGCCTGATGGGAGGGACGGTGTCCTCCAATGATGCGTTTAGGCGCTGTCACTCTTAGCTGTTAACGAATGTAGCGCCATCTTTACTTTGGCCGGATCAATATTCTGCCATCTAACGGGCTACTAGTAGCTTTACGGAATGTTGCGTTTAGGTGGGGAAATGCTCGTTTTGTAAATGCTACCTAACAGGGCCTTCTATGGGAGTAACGGTTGATATCTGGAATCGGATGCATTTGATAAGCAGCTGAAAACTGCTAGGCTTCATATGAGTTTCTAACCCGCCGCAGATGGCTTGGACCAGTCACGCGGTTGTCATGGCGAGCGCTTTGCTCTGCAGGTTTTTTTTTTCCGCAGAGCCCCATTGCAAGCTGCTACAATACAGCTTAATCTGACCATTTCTCAGCTCTGTTGCTTCTCAGACATCCACCCCCCCCCCCCCCCGCACAATGAGTAGGTGGGTGGCCCGCCATCTTGTGCACTTGGCTTTTGCTTGACTCGTTTGACCAAAGTCCATTTGGATCTGACTCACAATAGGCCAAGTTGATTCTGAACCTGACTCCAGCAGGCTTTACAGGCCGGAGTCAGCTCAGTATCGGGCTGTGGCTGCAATGCAATGAATCCGTGCCTGACACAGACCAAAAATGCTCAACTTCGTGGTCGACTTCGGGGAAGTGGACTTTGTTTATCGTTATGCATTGTTTGCATAGCTCATTTTCCCATTGCCAACAAACAAGTAAGGCAGTTGAACATTAGCAAGCAAAAAACACAGCCCCTTAATCATATGCATGCGTACGTGTGCATGCGCACACTCGGCATGAGTGATGTGTGCTTCAGAAACGTCAATGCTGCAGACAGTGAGCACCTTACATGTGCACATTTACCAGTCTCACTCACATGTCTGAGCTATGCCTGCATCCTTGGTAACATCACGTTTGGGAAATTGTTTCATCATGAGATGGGATTTTTTATCCTCATAACAACCAACCTTCAACATACGTGTGCTGTTCAGTTAGTAAGGTTCACTGTGTAAAAAGTTTGTCCTTTGTAAAGCTAACGTATCCAAAGTTCCACACATTT